CATAGATGTCGTAGGACACTGCACAAACCTGATAGTTTTTAGGGTAATATCAGTATATATTAATTAGCTAATTTGCATAATTAATTAATTTTCAGCTTTTGATATTTCAAGTAGTAATCATCACATTTCAATGACACTTGGTGCATAGATGTCATAGGACACTGCACAGACCTGATAGTTTTTAGGGTAATATGAGTACATATTAATTACCTAATTTGCATAATTATTTAATTTTCATCTTTTGATTTATCAAGTAGTAATCATCATATTTCAATGAGACTTGCTACATAGATCTTCTAGGATTATGCAGACACCTGATTAGTTTTAATTGGATATTAATTACCTAATTTGCATAATGTTCCACTGATATATAAAGAACCACAAATTGGATTTTAATGAAACTTTTAAAGAGAACTATGCAGAATTCCAATTAGTTTTTAGGTAAATATTTATGCTTATTAATCACCTAATTAACATAATTAATTAACACTGATATCTCAATTACTGATCATCACATTTGAATAAAATTTGGTACATAAATGCTCTAGGACAATAGACATGCCTGATTTATTTTGATTAATATTAATTCTCTAATTAGCATAATAATTCATAATTTTTTTGTTCTGTTCTGTTCTGTTCATATTAGTTACCTGATTTACATAATTAGTTTTCAGCTTTTCCATCAATATCTCATGTACAAGTAATTTTGAATTAATTTTTAATGTGTCTTCAATACTCTCAACACACGGGAGTTCTTTCTAAGCTTTCTTTGATTTAAGTTTTTGACCATTGATTTCACCAGTTGTGGCAATGAAAATGTTTGGATATTCACTCCCGAGAATATAATTACATGCATTGTATACATTGCTTAGACTCGTTTTGAACATGTCATGATATAACTAGAATTTTTAAACATGAAGATGTCAATATACATGTGTGCATTTTAACAATTAAGTTTATACTGTGGAATACTTTATTTTCGCTGGAATTAATTTTCACTGAAAAGGCTTTTTGGGCGTTTTGCTTGGAATTTATTTTTACTGATTTTTGATGAGTTTAATGTAAAATATAGGAAAAAAAGTATATTCGCTGGATTTTATTTTCACGAAATCATCCCTTCAGCGAAAATAGTGAAAATAAATTCCAAGCGAAAATAAAGTATTCTACAGTAGTTTCTTTATTCTTGTTTTTATTCTGGTTTACAGGGTTATAAGAAAAGATTACATAAAATATTTGAGGAAGCAGATTTAGTTTTATCACCAGACAAGTCATTAGTTGCATTACATCCAGAAAAGAAGACAGAGGAAGTGGAGGACTTTGACAATTTATATTCATGTAACATAGTAAGTAAAATGTTAACAAACTGAACCCAGTGTAAACTTTTTTTAAAGCAAACCTTGTATAAACCGTGTGTAAATTGGTTTTAACCGAAACATGTATAACACTGAAAACTGAACACGGAAACCTGTCTAAACCAAACCAAGTGTAACACAGAAACCTGTCTAAGCTGAACACAGAAAGCCTGTCTAAACCAAACTGTGTGTAACACAGAAACCTGTCTAAGCTGAACACAGAAACCTGTCTAAACCAAACTGTGTGTAACACTGAAACCTGTCTAAGCTAAACATGAAAACCTGTCTAAGCTAAACATGAAAACCTGTCTAAACTGAACTGTGTGTAACGCTGAATCCTGTTAAACCAAATTGTGTAACACAGAAACCTGTCTAAACTAAACCATACATAACACTGAAACCTGTCTAAACCAAACACAGAAACCTGTCTAAGCTGAACACAGAAACCTGTCTAAACCAAACACAGAAACCTGTCTAAGCTGAACACAGAAACCTGTCTAAGCCAAACACCGAAACCTGTCTAAGCTGAACACAGAAACCTGTTTAAACTAAACCATACATAACACTGAAACCTGTTTAAACCAAACACAGAAACCTGTCTAAGCTGAACACAGAAACCTGTCTAAACCAAACACAGAAACCTGTCTAAACTGAACCCTGTAAAACAATAGAAACTTACTTAAAATCAATTCAAACCCTGCTGAAAACAGAAAATCTCAATTTGAAAAAGATTTTATTGTTCATTATTTATTACAGCTTTATTACAAAAACTTTTCTGTTTTGCTACTCAAAGATTAGACATATCATTTAACAAACTACGTTAATATTCAATAGACCTCTTCAAAATCGAGCCTTATTGAAATAATCCATTTAGAATATAATAGGTCAGAAAGCTATTTAGATTG